TTGAGAACATTTATGCACGGGACGATCTTCACAGCTCAAATGACAGGGAGTAAGTGGTTTCTGTCCTTTGTTCATGGAAGGCCAGACAAGGCCTTACTAGGACAATTAACTAGCCCATCTTCCCAATTGTTCCTCGCCCTGTGTCCATCTGGACTGGTCAACGGGTGCTCTGATGCTGTTCATGGCCAAGTCATGGGCTCTCTGACCAAACACATTGAAGAAAACCAGTCCAGGTGGATTGGGAGATCTTTCTAATTGTGTTATCTTCCACAAATGCACTGAGGTGATTTCTCCCTCCCCGAGTTGCTATGGTTTCATTTTTTTAAATTCAAATACATACAGTATTCATAGATTGATGGGTGGATGGGTGGATGGGTGGATGGATGGGTGGATGGATGGGTGGATGGGTGGATGGATGGGTGGATGGATGGATGGGTGGGTGAAAGCATGAATGGATGATCACTTGCCTGAATCCTTCATGAGAAATTTGCTGGGCTCACAGACTGTGAGTCCTGGGCACAACTTAATGTCCAGTGAGCTGAATGGCTCTGACAGTTCAGCAATTTGGTTCTACTGCATGCTCCCACTCTGCGACCTGTCCTTCGACAGAAGCTGCCCCTCGAGTTCTTGCCTGCACACACAAAGAAGCTGACCTGGGCATCGCGCGCAGGAGGTGCTGTCTAGCTCTGCAGCTCTCTAGAGGACCAGCCCCTGGCCTTGTACCATGAAGGGCATGTGTATCACAAGTACTTTTCTATTTACTGTAATATGTAGTGGCAGAGGGTCACTGAAGCCAGTCTTTCCTCGGACCGCGGTAAATGTCAAATTCAATGTGGCCAAGAGGTCTCACTGAGGGCTTTGTCCATTTCATACTCAAGACAGTGTGTGACACCGCGCCTCTGGTGAGCCCACGATTCTGCTCTCAGATGGAAGGGCCTTTCATCTGAAGCTCCGACTTCAGAGCAAGTGGTAAGGAGTTGGTCCAACGTCTCCAGGAAGCCGGGCTTTATGTACAGCGAGTATGAGGGGAGACCGACCGTCTTACTCTCTGTCTGAAGTTGACACAAGGTCAGGGCCCCTGTCTCCTTTGTTTCAGGACCAAATGAAAGTATCTCAGTGCCTAACATCTCAGGAAGCAATATGTTTGATCTTCAGTGCTTCACTGGGCCCAAAGAGGCTATTTCAGGTGCTGCTGCACCTGCTTAGGTCCTTTCTGATCTGCCAATATTGTTCTTCATTCGCGGCAATCGAGTTGATGCCAACTCACTGTGACCCAGTGGGACAGGGTAGTAGAACTGCTGCTACGAGTTTCCAAGAGTGTAACTCTTCACGAGAGTAGAAAGCCCCGTCTACTTCTCCTTGGAAAACGATTTCATCACTGCTTCTGATAGAGACTCCGTTGCAGATGTAGGAAGCCGGAGGGCAGGAAAGAGATATCAACGATTCTCTAGGGAGACACCCCTGCCTAGGCCACTGCATCTTCATTGAAGAACATTCCAAAATTCAACATACCAGAGAAGCACCACAGGAGTCAAGCCCTGGCGGACACGAGATGGCAGCAGATCCTGACTGAAGCTAGCAGTTTGGAAAGGGGAAGGAGTAGAGGAAGAGGACGAGGAAGCATTTACGGGAAACTAGCACGAGACTGTCAGGCATGGGGACCTTATACCCTGAACAGCAGGGGCAGAGCCTCAGGGAGAAGTGGGAGACAAGGAAGAATCAGCAGGGTGGAAACAGACCCTGGAGAGAGAGTGATGACTCACGCTCGAGTTTGGTATCCACACCTGAGTGCTTGACAGGGCACTATCTTCATCACCCCCTACATGCACTCGCTCCGAGATCCCTAGTCTTGGTTGGTCGCACCCAGGACCAGTTAGATGCTTCTGTTGAAGTCTTTGTGTTGTTAGTTGTTGTCAAGCTGTTCAAATAGATGGTGTCCCTGTATGGGACAGAACAAAATGCTGCCCAGTCACGAGCCATCTCCACGATTGGTTGTAGATAGGGGCCCTGGTATCCATAGGGTTTTCATTGGCTCTTTAGGGGAAGTGGGCCGCCAGGTCTTTCTTCCTACTACTCCTTAGTCTAGACGTTCCACTGAAATGGATTCGGCATCCTAGCAACCCACAAGCCTTCACTGACAGAGGGTGGCGTCCAATGAGCACGGGGTGGGTTGGCCTGCGATCCCGCCCCTGGCTCCCTGGGGGAAGGTGAAAGTTCTATCAGAGGACCGTCAATTTCCCAAATCCCTTCTTTCTCCCTCCTGACAGTTCATCAATCATTGAATCTTGCTGAATTTCCCTCCTAAATCTGTGTTACATTCATCCCCACTGTCACTGCCCTGATTCAGAACTCATTATCTCTTGCTTAGACAATTGCAATAATGTCCTAATTGGTCTCTCTGTTTCCATCTAAAGTCAATAAAGATTTTAGGAAGAAAATAATAATGAATGCTTAGGCTTGAAGTGGTATTATGCTACCCTAGGAGGAAAGCCCAGCAAGCAGCATTTCTAGCCTCCACTAGAAACACAGAGATGCCCCGAGGAAGGAGGGACTCCAGCTCCGACCCCATGTGGGAAATGAGCCAGCCTGCATCTCCCTTGGAGTCTGGAGAGAGCCAGGGGCTCCGAAGAGCCATCACATCTGAGCACCAGGTTCCCATCGGAGTCTCCTTTCCTTACCTCCGCTCTTTTCTCTGGGCCCTCCCTCAGTGGAGTTCCAGGATTGGTGCCCTAACATGGAGACAGGAGGGGTCCTGCCTGTCACAGTGTCCCAGGAGTGCAGCATGCTACCATGTCTTCTACCAGAGAGAAACGTAGGCATTTCTCATTCAAGAAATGGGTTCCGCCATCTCCCGCTGCACCAGATACGGTCGCATCTTGGGTGAAACTGCTCTCCCGATGGGATTAACCTGTCTTCCTGCAGGCGCGGCTGGCAGCCAGATGGAATGAGCTCTGTCAACACCCCAGATGGAATTTTACTCTCAGTTTTTTTCCTCGGAAAATCCTTCTCACCCTCCCGATCTCCCTGTCTCTCTCCTGCCACATCCAAAATCAAATCACAAGCCTGCCCTTGGGCCCATCTGATCTTTCACAAGCTGATTCCATCATCTCCTCCTAACCCCGAGGAGCTCAGGAAATGACTGGAACTCACGGTGGCGCGGGGTCGAGTTGACTTATAATTCAGCTACCGGAGGAGCAAAGTGGGCCAGTACTCATTTGGAGCCCGACGCTGCCTTCGGTACTGTTTCCACAAAGACAGGGAAAGAGAGAAGTGGAAGCTGTTTTCTCGGTATCGCTGGTCCTTTATGTCCAGTTTTGCAAACATGTTTGGAATTCTGAAGCTACAGTGTTTCCTACAATCTACGGCACCTTCCCGGGACCTGGGTTTCCACAGGCCTTCCTTGAGAGCCTGGTGACATGATCAATGGGGCACGGTAATGTCCTCAGGGTTTATCTCACATTCAGCCCTAGAATTGTCTCCTGGTTCTTCGGACAAGCTGTGTGGGTGACAGTGTTTGTATGAGGCAATGCTGAGGGAGGAGACTTGCTCCAAAGGCAGTAGTAGGGGGACCTGATGGAGGCCACACTGGGCAACCCACAGTGCCCCTTTGTGACTGGGGAGACAGACTCGTATTTAATTGGGGTACCATCTCAAAGTCCATTGACGGGGAGCTGCCTCTCTCCTGTGAAGGGAGATGCTCTTCACAAGCCCCACCTCCCAAACACCCCGAGCTCTTCTCCCCAGTTCTGGGCAGCAGGGCCAGCTTCACAGGGCCGTGATTGTGCACCTGTCTAAGACACTGTGTGTAGCTCCGGGTCCCACTTGGGCGAATGCTCTGCTGTCGCCATCTGGACATTATCTCGTTCTCATTGAGATGTTCTACATGTTCATCTTATACTTGGTCCTATGAATTATATGGCTCGTCTTACGGAAAGGAGGTCAAATGCTCCCCAAGAACTCCTATTTTATTTGTGTATATCTTTGGTAAGCAAATGATTAAAAAAGAACAAAATGCAGACAACTCACCGCAGAGTTTCTGAAGGGATTTCTCGGAGTGGGCTTCTCTGTCACAGCCTTTTCCAATGGAGCTGGTCTGCAGCTCGGTGGTGATCTGGATGGAGGACACGGGCCCATCACATGTCTCCAGACGGACGCTGGGAAACAGGGGCAGGCTCCCTGAACCAGGCTGATATTCAATCCTTTTGGTCCAGTCTGAACAAATAAAAAAAAAAAAGAAATATTTTAAAATAAAGCATGTGACACTAAAGTTATCAGAAACAGAGGGTAAAAAAATAGACAAATTGGACTCCATAAAAATGAAAAACCTTTAGAAAAATGTCTTTAGGAACAATCTATTTGATAAAGGTTAATGGACAGACTATATAAACAATTTCCTACCAATCAACAAAAGGGCAAACAATCCAATCGAAAGATGGGCGAGTGACTTGGATAGACATTACTCTAAAGAAGATGTACAAATAGCCAATAATCACCTGAGCAGATATTCAATGCCATTAGTCACCAAGGAAATGCAATCAAAGCCATAAAAAGAAGCCACTTCCCTTCCACTAGGTTGCTACCACCCACGCTGGATGCTCTCCCCCTGGCGTGCCAACGGTCAGCAGGATAACCAGAGTGGACAGGCTGCTGTGGCGCTTCCTGATGAAGACGGAGTAGGAAAAAAGCCTTAATGAGTTGTTTCTCAAAATGATCCAGTGGAAGAAGATCTGTGGATCACAGCCAATATTTTCCAAGCCAGCCCTGAGAGACGAGGCCCCCGGGTTTGGAAGGCCCTCAAAGTACATCGAGGGAAGAGCTGCTTTCCAAGGTCGAGTTGACTGCCACGAGGCAGATGAAAGAAAACCTTTGGGACCTGCCTCTGGCGAAGTGGATGACTCAACATGAGAAATAACAAGGCACACAAGTCACCGCAATGGACCCAAACATAAAGATGATGATGATGCAGGACCCGGAAACGCGTCTTTTCCTTTGTTCCTTTCCTTTTATGTGTCACTGATGGAATCGCGAGTCCCATGCCTCCGCGCCCTTTCCCCCTGCAGCCCTGTGATTCTTATTGCCGGCAAGCTCTTGCCTGGTGCTATGATTTTTAGGAACACATATAACTTGTCACAAAACAAAAGAGCACCGTCGTCCTAGGAGTGCGTGAGGTTACGAGGGGCCGTGTGAGGAGTCTTTCTCAAACATCCAGGACACGGCCTCCCTTAAGCAGAGATGATGATCCTGTCACTGCTTTGTGGTGGCAAATAAATTTAGAGATAATAAAGTGATGGAGAGGAACAGAATCATAATAAAAATGGAACTACCCAAGAACAGAGCAATCAGCAAAAATAGACACAAAGAGTGAGCACACACATAAATTGATTGATACAATAACAGCCGCAATTGAAAATCAGACCCAATTCAAGGCAACCCTCATGGGGACTGACAGCGCTGTCCCACTGTCAACAGTGAGCGCTGCACAGCTTTGCCGGAGAGGAGCTGGGCCGCATCCCTGAGTCAGACATAAGGACAGAAGATGAATTTGTAGCATCAATAAACATGAGTTATGGACACTATTAGTTTATGAATCCCAAATGTTTGTCTCACAGAACACTGTTAGAAATAGACTTTGCTAAAGTAAAAATGAAAATCTATGGCATTCCTGTGTTCAGCCATGAGCAGCCCAGAAAGCTCCCCCTTTAGGGATCGGTCTGAAGAGGTGAGGGGACCTTCATAAGGATAGCTCTCAGCATGGCCAATACCCGTTTCCTTGTAGAGAACTGGCCTTGATCACAGAGAAAGTCTCTCCTTCCCCGGCGGCTTATGGGAGGTAATCTCAAGGTCCCTGGAATGCTATGCCAGCTAAGATTGTCTTTGTTTGCCTGGGGTCTAAGGTCACAGTGGCAGTCTACCAATGTGATGTAGGGTAGAAGCTGGTCATACACACACACACACACACACACACACACACACACACACACACACACACTGTGTTAGGGTGGGGCTGGTCATGCCAGAAAGGCCAACCATGTGAGTTACGCTGCGGCCTTTGGATCACCAGGTTTCCATCGACATGATCAATCCGGTGGTAAACCAACCACGTCTACATAATGGAACCCCAGTAAAAACTCTGAGCACTGAGGCTCAGGTGAGCTCTCCTGCTTGCTCACATGGATCCTGGGAAAGTAACACATCCTACTCCATCCAGCGAGAACAATGGACGCTCTGTGTTTCAGATTGCTCCTGGATTGGCCCTGGTCTATTTCCCTTGGCTGGTTTTAATCTGCATCTTTGTGCTGTAATTCAACTATGAGGACAACCATTTGGGGGGCGGGAGGTAGAGTTCTATGAATCCTTTAGTAAAGTGATGGGTTAAAGGGTAGGTTCACGAACCCCCAAACTTTGGCTTGGTCCACACAGAGAGGGATCTCATGGAGACCAGCATACCCTCTCACTGTTGGGCTAACTTGCAATTGGCCCGAACGGCTCGCCGCAAGACTGTGGGGAGCACTGGGCTGAAGATGGGGTGAGACACTTTCATTCCCTGAGCAACTGTTTCCCTGAGGGTTTGTGTGCGGCAGGCCAGCCGTGAGCCAGTCAGGAAAGGCATGGGGAGGAGCAGGGCTGACAATAAACACGGGCTGTACCTCCTGAGAGAAGAGGTGGCACCAGGGACAATGTCGAAGATGGAGGGGCTCTGGTAGAGGGGGGACCTCCTCATTGATCTATTTTGGCATTTAACCATGATGAGAAGCTCCACTCCAGATGTTTTTACAAAGGAGAGCAAAGAAATAAAGAAATCAGGAAAAGACACCTCAGTGGAGGCCCAGCCTTAGTAAACATCACTCTCCTTCCGGCATCGTGGCTTTTGACCAGGTGGGCAGACATCAGGGCCTAAGGAGCTGTGGGCGCATCACGTCGCCAGGCACTTGGCTTTGGCCGGTTTATGAGGAGCAGGGGAAATGGCAACTGTGTAGTAAACGGGATCGATGAAACTTTCTGAGTGCAGTGTCCTTGAGGAAACGGGCAGTGCTTGGGCTGGGTCCGGGTGCGGACCAAGAGAGCCAATGGCAAATCATCAAAGTCAGTCTGTGCCATCTGAAATGTCTACTCAGCCTCATTCCCTGGGAAGTAGGACAGCCTGGTGCTGAAAAGTGCTGTGTCTGATTTTGGTGCAAATTTTAAAAATAAATCAATAAACAAGCAAACTCAAACTCACTGACATGGAGTTGATTTCAACTTAGTGCACGTGGGTTAAGATTTGAGCCCTAATACATACTATATAACGTTAGGCAAGTAAGTCACTTACGGCCCCCATCATGGTTTCCTCTTACTTAAATGAGTACCCAGGATTGGGGAGGGATTAAATGCCAAGTCTGTTTAGCACAGACTACAAGGTAAGTGCATGATGGATGTTTTGTTGTTCACTTAGCTCTCGATTCGGTAGTATTTATTGCAGGACCCTTAGCAGGTGCCAGGAGCTCCTAAGTGAGCAAACTGCTAATGTGCAATCTGGCGAACAGTCGGAGGTTACGTCCACCCAGAGATGTGTCCGAAGAAATCCACTTCTAGATGTCCAGCCGCTGAAAGCCCGACGAGGCGCTTGGTCCGCTCTGATGCACATGGAGTGGCCGAGTGTGGAGGCTGACCCGACAGCAACTGCTTCTGGGTTGGTGTTTTCCACAAGGTGCCAAGCACGTTGACCTCTGCTCACCCAGAGAGGGTGCTGCCATCTGAATTGCACAGAGGAGGAAACCGTGACTGAGAGTCGGTGACCTTCTCAAGGCCACACAACTCTCTGTGTGACAAAAGCCCTGTGGCTCTGGGGGTTTGCCAGAAGAGGACCAGCATCTCTCTTACAGATTCATTTCTGATACTCTGCATCCACTGATGTCTAAAAGATCACCCTTCATGTTGGCAGAGGATTAGTGAGTGACTGACTGTGAGAGCAACTGGTGGGTGCTGGGGGTTGCTTCGATGGAGCTTGGATGGTACTGTGACCTTGGCATTGGGCGGCTAATCCACAGGAACACGAAGAGGCTGTCTGTTCCCTAAAGATTTACCCTTAGAAGACCTAGTATAGCAGCGGTTCTCAACCTATGGGTCGAACGACCCTTTCACAGGGGTCACCCGATTCATAACAGTAGCAACAGTACAGTGATGAAGTAGCAACAAAAATAATTTTATGGTTGGGGGGGGGTCACCACAACATGAGGAACTGTATTAAAGGGTCGTGGCATTAGGAAGGTTGAGAACCACTGTATTATAGGGCTTCTATGGGTTCAAATCAACTCAGTGACAGTAGCCAGGGGTTGCTTTGAGACCAAAGATGGAGAGATCTGGCCTTGGGTGCCAGGTGGCCCCTGCAAAGTAGTTGTCAGCTCGGCGTCATCTACGATCAGCTGCCTTGTTGCTGATTCTTTTTTGTTTTGTATTCATTATTTTGAAAAACCATTTTATTGGGGACTCGTACAACGCTTACCACAATCCATACATCCATCTATTGTGTCCGGCGCATTTGTACATCTGTTGCCATTATCATTTTCAAACCATTTTCTTTCTACTTGGGCCCTTCGTATCGGCCCCCTGCCCCACTGGAGTTGGTTCTGACTCACGGTAACCCACGTAGGTAAGTGGAAGGGGCTTATACAGGGGTTTCCATGTGCTCCAGAGGGTTTACGAAGGCTGAGTTTTCTGAAACAGACGGCCAAGTCTTTCTTCCATGGTGTTGCTGGGTGGACTTGCAGGACCAGCCTTGCCGTTAGTATGTTGGCTTTTGAGTAAACCTGTCTCTGACATTAGTGGACGGCTGCAGACAGTCTCTAGGGATACCCTTATCTTAGTCTCCTTAGGGTGCCTTCAATGAAAAGGTCCAATCCAACAGCACCTTCTGAGGAGAACTGCTGAGCCAGTTGAATTCAAGGCAAAGAGGTCAGCTCAGAAAATTATAATGACTGCTTTGAGGATTCCAAAGGGCTGATCTCGATCATTTCTTTGAAATACATGGGATGATCATTCAGGCTTATTATGAAGAGTTTTTGGTTTTTTTTTACTGAAAACTCATTGTGGGAAGAAGGCCAGGAAAGTGGTACCCAGGAATTGTTTTTTCATCCTGCCAATGCACCTGCTCATTCTTGGAGGGCAGCAGGGCTGTCCTATGAGAAGTTCATTGAGGAATGAAATTTACCCTACAGGGCTGATCTTCTTCCTTC